CTGAATGCCTTTGGTGAGCTAGGGGGGGCTTTTGAGCACTCTTGCCCGCTTTAATTCTCATTGGGACTGTCACCCCTTGAGCTCAGAGGATCGTTCCCTTAAGGAACTACCACTCGTCTTGGACACCCAATTCCCCTACCCTTCAGAACCCCAGTGCCTCTCCTACCAATCTCAACTCACTGAAGTTGGCCCTCTTGAAGTCAAGGGCTACTGCCTTGCTGCTGGCCCTTGACACCCTGCGCTGGATGGTGAATTTCAGCAGGCGATGATCACTGTTGCCCAGGTTGGTGGAGAACCTGGAGTCCTCTCACCAGGTTGTCGCCTGTGGCCAGGACCAGGTCCAGCAGGGCATTTCCCCTGGTGGGACTGTGCACCTCCTGGGTTAAGTGGAGGTCCTGTATCTCGGCAAGGAACCTTTTGTGAGTGCTCCAACCTGGCTGGCTGCTCCTCCCAGCAGATGTCCGGGTAATTTAGATTACCCATGACGACTACATCCCTTGCCTTAAGTGCCTCTGCAAGCTGACCCGAGAATTCGCAGTCCAGCTCTTCCCCTTGGTTGGGAGGTCTGTAGTAGACCCCCACCATTAAGTCCCTTTCCTCATGACCCCCCTGTATGCTGACCCAAAGCACTTTAGCCTGCCCCTCCTCTGACCCCATCCTGTTAGTTGAGGACATATATTGCTCTTTGATGTAGAGCACCACACCCCTTCCTTTCCTCCCCACTCTGTCCTGTCTATATAGGCTATAGCCCCTAATGTTAACCGCCCAGTCGTGGGATGAATCCTATCAGGTTTCTGTGAGCCCTACTATGTCCAGGTTTGTACTAGCTATCTGGAGGGCAAGTTCCTCCTGCTTATACCCCATGCTATGAACATTAGTGTAGAGGCATTTAAGGCCTTGTATTGGTGCATGCACCCCGACCCAATTCTTAGGACTATCCAGACCCCTGTCACTTACGTGGGTACTCCTTGTGCCCATCACCTGTCTTGGCTGGGAGGTGTCCTCATGCCCTCCTGTGGCCCCATCCCCAGGCAAAGCTAGTTTAAAGCACGCTGGATGAGATCAGCCAACCTGGAAGAAAAGACACACTTGCCTTTAGGGGAGAAATGTAGCCCATCTGCGCAGGGGGCATGCTTGGGAGGAAAGTGTGGGTTGTTGTCCAGCAACCCGAGGCCTGTCTGGCAGCACCAGCTCCGTAGCCGCCGGTTAACCTTGCCGATGCAGGCCTCGTGTCGCTGTTTGTCTACTTACTGGGAGAATAGAGGAGAATACCACCTGTGCCCCAGTCTCCTTGAGGCCCCCAAGGCCTCAAAGTCCTTCGTGATGCAGTCTGGGTTGCCCCTGGCTGTGTCACTTGTTCCCACATGGATAAGGACCATGGGGTACTGGTCCGTGGGTTGAATGTAGGCCAGGATCCTCTCTGTGATGTCCTGAATCCGAGCCCCAGGCATGTATCGGACCTCGTGTGCCATGGGGTCGAGTCGACAGATGGGACCCTCCGTTCCCCTTTGAATGGAATCCCCAATGACAAGGACCCAGCATTTCTTCCTCCTGGTGCTCCCTCTCTGCACCATCTGTGTCATGCGTGGAGTGGCACTGTCCCTGCTAGGGGCATCCCCTTCATCCTTCTCCAAGGCTTCCAGGGCCTCATATCTGTTCCCAAGTTGTACCTGGAGAGCCTCCAACCCTCTAGCCTGAGCAGCCCTGGTTCTGGTGGATACCTTCTGCCACTCCTCTGTTGTGCATTTCTCCTGCGGGGGTCTGTACATTGGATGCCTGGTCCTGCAGTGAATGGAAATAAGTGTCAATCTTGTCCTCTGCAGCCCTGATCCCCCGCAGCCTGCTCACCTCAGCCTGGAGCTCCCTCATCTGCTTCTCCAGGGCCCTAAGCTGGGCACAGGAGGGACAGGCAAGGGAACCACCAGACCCCTCCCCTACACCAGCCTCTGAGTCCCCACCAGGCCACCCCCACAGACAGGGGGAGCAGAGGGCTGTCAACCGTGCCATGCGCTCCATCCGGGCCGAAGCCCCAGAGGAGCCCAGGGCAGGTGGCATCACCGGGGTGGGGCCCCTAGCAGCTGCGCTCTGCATCTGTACTGCGTCCGCGGAGCCTAGGCTACTTCTCTTGCCTGTTGGAGGCTCCTTCTGGGCTCCTGCCGCACACCTGCCTTATGTGAACACCAGCACAAATGTTGGCGTGCCCTTACAGAGCGTGCTTGGTTGTGCGTGCTGCCCATGCGTAGCTCAGGAGCACGGCTCCCTGCCAGCTGAGCTAAAAGGGATCCAGGGGACTTCCCCTCTGGATCAGCCTCAGCTGCGCTGGCTCCCTATGCCCCATTTACCTTAGGGGGATCAGCTGCTGCTGCTCCCGCCGCCGCTGTTGGTGAGGTCTGATAAAGAGCTGTATATAAGAGCAAGGTTTTATTGTCAAGGTGGGGCTCTGCTGGGGTTCATGTATGATGATTCTCCTGAACGATCATCCATGGAGCAAACAGCACATCAGGAACGTTGCACCAAGAGCACAAGGGAAGAAGTGTGCTAGCCATCAAGGAGAAGGAAAGGGAGGGAAAGGTGGTTCTTTTCTTTTTTTTTAGAAAGGAAGTGGTGTCATGGATCTGACTTGTTGGAGGGCTGATGGAGGAAACAAGCAAATTGGGAGTTGTCCTGTGCAATTGTTTCCTCCCCCTTCTCCTTCCCTCTGCAGAGGGATGGCTTGCCAGCTTTTCCCTGAGTGCATGAGGTCAGTGTTAGCTCAGTGGGGTTTTAAAGTGGAATGCACTGCACCTTTCACACCAAGCAAAATAATTCGGCATGGACACAAATGATGCTGGGCCAGCAATCTGTTTGTTTTCAAATGGCTTTTCGGTCTGGGTTGCATTGCTTTGTAACCTGGCAGGTGCTTCCAGCAGTTCTGTGCCTGTCTCCTGCTCTCTGAGAACAGTGCCTCTTTGCAGGGATGCTTGGACTTTCTTCTCTCCAAAACACAAACAGACACTGGAAGCTCCCAGGCCAAGGACCTGTCTCTGTCTATCCAGTGCCCTGCACAGTCACGGGGCCTAATGCTAGGCAGAGAGAAAAGTGCTGACTTCTGCATTTCCAGGCAGTTTCCCTGGCCTGCAATGAGTTGTCTATCTTGGCAAACTCAACTACAGCAGTCTCCCTTACTCTCCTTTGGCATTATTTCCTTCTGCTTTCACCCTCTCTTCCCTCCTCATCCTAGTTCCCACCTATTTACATTCTCACTGACATCCTGTCACACTTTTAGCATCTTTCATTCCTTAGCGATCTCAGAACAGCAGAGGCTCCCAGGGCATTTCTACCAGTACTTTTTCGCCCGGTGACGTGCTGGAGACGAATCAAGCCTGTTCCGCACGCGAGCCGACGTGTGCGGCGTTGTGTCGCTTGCAGTTGCACAAGTGGCGAAACGCGCGGCTTGCATGCGGTAACACCGTCTGCAGTGTGAGTGCAAAAGCACTCCCCCCCACCCCCCCTTGCTATTTTCTGTGCATTTCATCTCTGATGCCACTGCACCTGTCGCAGCGCTGAGCTGGTGCACGTGTGTGTAAAAATAAATAAATAAAAAAAAAAAATGGCTCCTGTGCCTGAAGGCTGGCAAAGGACTTTTACTAGACTGGTGGAGTAGTTGCGGGGGGGGGAGGAAAGGATCGCATCTCCCCAAAGAAGCTTGCCTGCACTGAGCAATCCCAAGCAAGCTCCTTCATGCATCCAGGCAGGGGATCACCTGACATTATGGAAAACAGCTAGCTGAGCCGGGAGGCACACATTTGGGTTTTCTTTTTTTAAATGCCCTAATTTAGAGGCTAAATGAGAACAAGCTGAGTGCGGCTGGCTCCCGGCTCCGGCCCGCCCTAGCAGCCGGCCCGCGGAGGAGCGGGCGAGGGCGCCCCCTGGCGGCGCGG